GTGAGCAGCCGTTTCACTGAAAGACAGGGAGCGTTTTTATTCCGAGGCAGGATACACCACTGTGCAATAACGGCTGTAGGGTCTTCCTTTCAATGCTGGACGCGTTGTGTCCTTGTCCCAGTAATCCTGCCACACTGGCCATATAAGCTCCTTGACACGTTCTGGTTTTCAGCATTAGTTTTACTACTTCTGCTATCTCCTTCTCTGGTTGTCAGCTACCAAAACTGTCCAATCCTTGGCCTCTTGCTAAATATGTTTAATCCTGAAGCCTGATGGGTGTCAGTTTGTCGTGCTAACAAATGTGTGTATTACCTCTGTAATTTATTCAATGCCTTGTCCCAGGAAGGAGACCAGAGCCTCTAGCAATGCAGCTGTGGATGGGGAAACAGGCTGCTTTTTAGTCACAAGTACGATGTTGTCTTGTGTTATTCAGGTGACCTAATCAGTTACATTAATTGGAAAGTATAATCCGTCGAATAATCTGGTTTAGATTCTCTTCTGTTGCAGGACTTTACAATTCTATTTCCTTTATCCTTTTTAAAATAAAAGGAAAATTTACAAAGAAATGCTGCCAATAGTTAGTTTTTACTAGCTGTAATAAAGCCAGCCTTTACAGTCATGTACAGAGAAAGGTGCTCTTTTCTATTCAAGCTATTGCTTGCTACCTGTAAATGTCAGGCAGGTTCTGCAAACCTGCTTATTTCCAGTTCTGCAAACCATGTCTTTGAAAAATTTCCTGAATCCAATTAGGTTTTTTGTTCTCTGTATGTAATAATTGAGACACTTTGACTCATAAGTTTAACTTCTTCAAGAGGACTTGGATCCTTGGCAGGAGAATTTTTTGTAGTGGGAAGCATTAGTAAGAGACCTTTGATTATTGGCTTGAAAACTTTTCTGATCTATGGAGGACTTCCTATCTGTATGCTGCTAAAATGCACTCTAATACACGTTTAATTATATTTCTCTTAGCTAACAAATACTTTGGACCAATGTGGGAAAACCATTATTTCTTTATAAAGAGATCTCTCTCTCTTTTCTTCTTTTCTCTTTTTTTTTTTTTTCTTTTTTTCACATTTAGATGATGGAACACCTGGATTATACGGGAAATGAAGAAAGCACAGCATCCGCCAGTGAACAGCCTGGAGGACAATAACATGTAGGATCCTGATTTAAAATAGTATTTGTGTTTTCTACAGAAGAATTACAGCAAATTTGGTGAAGTTTTACAATAGAGTATTTCCTACTCTGTGTAAAAGAATTTTTTTACTCCTGCACCTATATTTTTATGGAAAATATTGTTAATTACATAAAAGTAATCAAAACAGACTTGCATTTTATAGCCAAATCATAGCTAGTAAAACCGTGCCTTATTTTGATTTAAATAAAAGGATATTTTCTATGCAATTTTCCAAATGTGTTTCTATACAGTATATTTTTATAAAAGTTGCTTGCCCATATCAGTTTGGTGCATTAAGTGTTTTCTTAATTTTGATTAAGACTAGTCAAGTTTCATTAAAAAAAAAAAAAGGTACAGTACCTTCATAGGATTTCTTTCCAGATTTTGAATGCAAAGATTGATAGTAATGCAACTATAGCAACTAAAGAATGAAACTATAGTTCCATTACTACAAAATTAAATAAACTGTGTGTATGTTACTCTATGTACATTGTAAGCCATAAAGTAGATAACAGGGCAAATTTAGCTTGGGGTTGTGAACTTTCTTTCCCCCCCACTGTAGCATGACTGGCTTATGCCTTAACTGTGAAAATTGTTAAGCTTTGATGCAAGTCTTTGGATTATATACGTGGCCGGCCATTTCCAGAAAAATAAAAGGGGGAGGTTCTTACACAGTGGTCCTGGAAACTTCGGTGCAGCTCCCGGAATAGTTGACAAACGATGGTGTGAAAGGCAAGAGGGTTTTTGCTCAAGAAGTGCTATTTGGGGAGGTTGGGGGAAATGTTAACTCTGGCCTGGTTCTTCTCCAACCCACTGAGACTAGGTCTACATTTGCGGTCTTCGTTTGGCTGTGGATCAGTTCAAAGGGATGGAGGAAGACGGGACAGATTTCTTTAGCTTTTGCATCTACACCACACTTTTTTTTTTAAACTATTTTTGAAATTCTTTGCAATTGATAGACAAAACAACAGGTTTGAATAGTGCTAGTAGTGCCTATGTTAGTTAAGGCCAATGCATGTGTTTAACTTGTTTAATATTAATTTGTTTTAGCTTTTAAAGACTTGAAAAAGGAGAAATAGGTTAAATCATTAGTTTGCATTTAGAAGAGTTTGAGTTTGTTTGACACTATCTTTTTTCTGGAAACTGCAAATCGAGGGGGATTAGGCATAGAAAATGTGTATAGCTGTAATGCTAACACTTTACACCAAAGAAAATTGGAGAAGGCAACATTGAGTTCACTTAGTGCTAATGTCAGGTAGTGGTTAAAACATTTTTCCTATTCTTTAAATGAATGTCATTCCTATGGCCAGTAGAAGTTCAAGAGAACAACCGACTAACACATGCTGGGCAACAGCAATGCAGGTTTTCCTGCAGTGCCTCAACTGAGCGCCTCGGTGGCCGTCTGAAGGTCACCTCTAGACATTCTGAGTTAGTTTGAGGCATGTTGGCTCAGGAAAACTTATCCAGATTAAATCTAGTTTAGCTAGATTTACTTTGGAAGTATGCTGATTAAGACAATTGTAAATCTATATTGGCAGTTAACAAAGCCTTACTGCAAATTTGCCGCTTTACGTAATTTTTATCAAGTTTAAACTTTTGTTCACAAGAGTCAGAAGCGGGCAGATTTACAGCCTGAGTATCAGTTGTTGCCATTCACAGGGATTGCCCGTGGTGCCAGTTGATATGGGTCAGATAACCACCTTGTTTGCAACTTCCCTAAGAAAACAGAAATTAAGGAACAGTTTTCATACCTTAGTAGTTGCCACTCTTGACTTTCTTGACCTAAGCTTGAACTGACAGCCGCAGAGCAAAATGATCTTGCGCACCATCTTCAATTTTTATTTCACTGGCACTTAATAATAAATTACAGCATACCTCAGGGTTCCAGTAGCAGACTGAAAACTTTGCTTCTGATATGTTGTCATGCTCTTTGACAAGCCCAGTATCTGCCAAAGTTAAATGGTTATGAAGAAGCTTCTGAAAATTTCTGAAAGAGATAAAGAAGTCATAACTCATTCAAAGTCACTACTAGAAGCCCTCAGGAGCTTCACAGATCTATGGAATATGACTACTTTTTCTCTTTGAAATCTTCTGCATGGAGGATTTATTAGATTTTCAGCTATAAATGATAATGGAATTAGTATAAATAAAGACCTTTGGCAACGTAAGTGTATTCAGCAGCTGGCTGCGGAAACTCTGTCTTGTTCTGTGCCTAACGATGCTCCATGCCTGATCACGCCTGAAGTTTCACACACATGTGCTGCAGTTTATTGGGATGTAAACTAACTTTTTTCTTTCAAATGCTTAGGTGCTTTGTTTACAGAAATTAAGAATGGAGTTTAAAATTTTATATAAATAGGTTAGTATTGACTACTGAAATGAGGTTTTTATAAGTTCAATAGAACTGATTGCAACACTTGTAGCAATTTTGAATGTGTTTAATAATAAATTTGGTTGGGCTAAACACTATGTTAAGAGCCCTTTCAGTCAAACTTTAATATAAAATTCTTACTACCTTTTCATTGTATGTTTACTGACAACAGCCCCCTTCCTTATGACTTTTAAGTTATCAGTTTAAGAATGTTATTAATAAATGTTACTTGGGAAAAAATAGTTGAGTAATTGCTTTGTTCTGATTTGTCTTTTTCTTACTGTGAATGTTCCTGACAAAACACTTAACACTTGGTAATACCAAGTAAATAAAAAATTCACTATATACCCCCATAAAGCTGTAGTTGTAGTTTTTATCTATCCCACCTGATGTATCAAAGTTATGATTCTGTTTGTGAATACCTGTGTGGTAGATTTGGTGGATTCCTTTTCTTTTTCTTTCCTTCCCCCCCCTCCTCCCGGGTGGGAGGGGAGAACTGACGTCTGTGAATTGAGCTTGTTGCACAGCTGTTAGTCATGGGGCTCTGTGAAAGTGCACCTGGCACACAGGGAGTTAGAAATCTGCAAACTTCTCGATGGTAACAAGCTTACCTACATTTGGCCTAGGAAACAGTGCTGCAGAAGCATTGTTCACCTGAAGGTACTTAGCCTTAGACGTGAAGGGCAAGAAAAAGCCAAGCTTCTGTCTTGAAACCCAGGCTGGGTTGGAAATGTTGGCAGGAGAAAAAAAACCACCACTGAACTTGAATGCACTTGATATGGGATCCTTGAGACATCCCTAGAACCCTCTGTGTGTTTGGATTTAGCATGTTTTTAAGTATTTTAAGCCTCTTCTGCTCATACACTGGAGATGCCAGTAGCATTGAGTCACAGTAATTGAGTACTTAGCTGGGGAAAAAACTCTCCAAAATGCTCTTTGAATTTACTAATATTAAAAAGTAGAGAAGTTAGGAAGAAAAGATACAGCTGCAATCAGGAGAGTTGTTTTTCACTGTCTATTCCCCGTGTGTTCCATTGTTAAGGCTGGTAGATTTGACACTTCAGCAAAACTGCAGATCTCGGATTGCAAGCAGGAGAGGCATCTTCTCCCAAGGAAGAGGGTTACCATTGCTAGTTACTAAGTTCTTGCCTGTTTAGACTGGTCCAATCTTTACAATATGGTTCCACTTAGACATAAGAAAAAGCTTTTCACTGCGAGTATGGTCATACACTGGGGCAGGTTTCCCAGAGAGGTTGTGGAGTCTCCATCCCTAGATATTCAAAATACAAGGCCTGGCAGCCTGCTCTGAGCAGGGGGGGCAATCTACAGAGGAGCACTCTAACTCTACTGCTCTGATTATTAAGGAATTTTCCTGCTCATTTTCCAGCTTGAATAATCTGCAATATATTTTTTCTTCATAGAAAATCTCAAATTTTATCACCACAACACCGGTTTGATTTTTCACTTCAAATAATTTACTTCCAGTAAATTGTTAGATTTAAGTTGTCTTTGGAGTTGTAATACTTTCAGAAGGTAAAGCACTGTATTTTCAAGTAGCCTGTATAGCACATTTTAGCATGTAAATGATTTATCTTTCTAATTTTTGAGGAAAGGAGGAGGAGAGCAACTCAGGCTGTTATCCCTTTTGTCAGAAGTGAGTGATCAAAGTTCAAGGCTTTGTGTTCTTGAAAGAGGCTGATGATGGAGGCTCAGGTATCTCTGGAATCCCTCTTATTTATAAAGAATGCGCAAGATCCTGTTTCCCTGAGCACCGAGGGCATCAAATAGCTGAGAATAGGTTTTTTGCTTGCAGCTCAAAGACCTTTTAACCAAGAAAGTGTTTAGATCAAAGAGCACCCTTTCAGCTTTTTCTCAGGAGTACACTCACAGGTATTCTGCTGCCTGGTTTTCTGTTCCCTCTCCTTGCTCCTGCGCATAACTTGCCTCCTTTCTTTCCTCTTTTTCTCTTCAGGGCAATGCCAGCATGTTTTGAAGTGTCTTTGCACATTACTTTTTCTTGGACAATAATATGTGCCTCTGTTCCAGCATTTATGAGGAGGTTAAATCTTTTGAACTCTCTTTAGACAAATGCAGCAGCCATAACCACCAGCTCAATCCACCAGTAACGATAGCTTATCTTCTGCACATCATTATGTTATGGTCCCGCTGACTTTCAGGGGTTGTATTAATGTTGGTACAACAGCCTGGCTTAGATTGGAAAAACAAAAAAAGGACTTTTTTTACAGTTTTATCAGAGGCTGAAATGTGCTTGTGCTGCCTCTCCCGTGTTTTGCAGACAGGCTACTGGATTATATCAACTTCTGTACTGTACAGGCCTGGGAATACAAGGAAACACAACAGGTATCAGTACCTTTAAAAGTTCAACATTAACTCAGTTACTTCAATTTCAAGCTTTGTTGTGTTGATGTGTCCTTATCAAAGCTACAAGAAAAGTGGAGTCCTTTAATTAATGTTTCTTTCAAAAGGTAATATGCTGGGAAATTGATCCATCCTCATGGACTTTAAGCAACTAACTGTAGAAAATCAGCAAACAGGTATTTCTCTGGTAAGTGAGTATTTCTCTGTAAGTGAGCATTTCTCTGGTAGCAGATTTCAAAAATAAATTCTAAAAGTAAATTTACATTACAGTGACAATGGAAAAAGCAAGTGCATGCCCATTGATACATTTTTCTCTATAAAATGGAGCAGCAAGCCTCTGCAGGACAAAGTGAAGCTCTTGTCAGGGTCACCTTCAAATAAGAACTCAAAGTTGGACAAGTAAGTCCAGTCCTGTATAGGCTTTTTACCTTTCAGTTATGAGATACCTATCCCTGGATTTTACAAAAATAATTCAAGAAACAGAGCTCCGTAAGGATACCTGTGACCTTGTCTCCAATGTCTAAAATTCAGGAAGCAGCTGGTTTGACCTGCTGCCCTGCTCTTGCAAAGCAATGTGGTAGGACTGTGGCACTGGGCTGGCGTTGCCGCCTGCTGCGGCCCCGAGAAGCAGCACCTCTGGCTGCTGCTCCTGCTTTCCTCGCCCCGTCGGGCAGCGCAGTCACAGAAGGAGATGCTGCACCGCTGCTTCTTGCACAAGGAGCACCTCTACGCAAAGGCCACCTCACCGCCTGTCCACCGTGCCCATGCTCTGCTGAGAGTGAGCTAAAACTCAAGAATTTGTGAGCCCCGAGACGACAGCGGGAACAATTTTCACAGGGAAGCTTTAAAAATCCTATAAAAGTTATGGGGGGAGAAAGTTCAGAAGAACAAAACTGACATAAAGTCGTTTTAGTTATTTTTTAACGGCTGGCACTGATAAAATCTTGCAAAGGGTCACCATTATGGTGTGAATATCCCCATCCTGTTCCTGGCAGCTACTGCTTTCACTCATGTAAGTGGAGACACGTGGAGGCACACCCTTGGCAGTTTTGTGCTCTCAAACACAGTTTTCTGAGCACTAAGTAATGTATCATGTTCCCAAATACAGGATATGCTTACATTATACTTTAGATGATGGGCAGGGTAACGTATCTTTTTTTGTACACTCAGAGCACAACGAAGGAAAAAAACTGCACATTCAGAACTACTGGGTGCACTCAACATAGTTCAGTAACTTGAATGTCCCTTCCTGTTAATATGGAATAGTTTTAATGCAGATTTTAAAACTGGAAAACCCACACTCTCATTTGCCTAATTTGGATGTGACAAGCCACTCTGTAAAGCCGAGCCCAAGTTACTGGCTTTGCACTCTGAGCTTGGTGTGTTGGTCATCGGGCACTTATGTTGCCATCAGAAAGCCCCTCTGCAACCCCTTCCTAGGATGGTGGCACCAGAAAAACAGGGAAGCGCTGAAAAACTGAGAAGCCCCGCACAGCGTTCCCTGCCTCTGCGCTGCAAAGTAACGGGTTTGTGTTAGACTCTAGCCCCATTTAACACCAAAATGTGGTAAAAACACCCTTGTGCTGTTGTGATGTATCTCACGGTTAGAGGGGAGCTGAATTGCATCGCTGGCCTTCAGGTGATACCAAATCAGCTCTTATCTCTAAAGGCATGCTACCTCCATGTCCCCTTTTTATAATTACTTCATAGAATAAGATGTCAATGCTACTTTTGCCAATTTTAATACATAAGCAGTTCTGTTACTTTAAATACATACATTACTTGTGAGATTGGAGTCTAAATCAGTTGCAGGGTATAATTTATGACTGTTAAATATGCAAAATTAACTTTTGGTACATTATTATTCTCCTGATATATCTTGGATTTACCCTAGATTTTATGACCTATTTCTTGAATGCACAGCTAAGGCACTTGTTTCCTGTGAGGGAATGCATCCTCTCAGCCATTACAGGTAACACATTGCTCAGACTAGCTGCTTTTGGGTTTTGAAAAACCTCATTATACTGCAAAAAGATTACTCAACATTTGGGATTTATTTAGACGATGATGTGTAACTCTGGTGTGTACTGCAAACCAACAAAGTAACCAAAATTTTTAAACAGTTTAAAAACTGTGAAGTCACACATTTTTTGAGTTTTATTTTCCCTAGCTTCAAGGCAAACAAGCCTCCTCCTCCTAGGTTACATTTCCTGTATGTTGTGATTAACAGCAATAAGCCGTGTCTACTTCACCCCATTTTGAAATAGCGTATTTTGAATTGCTGAAAAGTATTGTTTTTAAGGTTATTCAGTGTATTATCCAAGAGGTATTTGGCAAAATATTTTCACAAAAGCTTGGCAACTCCAGCCCTAGAAAAACCCTTCACAAATAACGGAGGGGACTCACAGATCCCATTAACCTGTGCCATTGTACGCTTTTTGCCTTACTTGACAAATTTTAAACTTTCATATGGAGAAAATAAGTACCTTCATTGTTCAGGAGTAGCAGTCAGAATGTGAACTGGTGAGTTGCCACTGGAGCTGGAGCTAGACAGCTGATGTCCCTAGATATATCAGAAACAGAAAACCCTGTGGCCAAAAAAAAAGGTTTGGGGAGAATTTAGCCTTGTTAAAAGAATAAGAAAAATGAATCAATAATAGCTCTTTTCTGCCACAGATGACTTTGGTAAGGGACAAAAATGCTTTCTACACAGAATCTGTTTGACCTCAAGTAGGATATTAACTAGATCTCCTTATCAGTTGGCATGTACATCTGATTTAACTATATGAACTCCAGCACCTATTTTTAACAACTTTAAAAAAAACGCTGCAGAGTAAGAGAGCGTATCCCTGATAAAACAAACAAAAAAATCAAAAGCAGATTACTTTTATTTATGGTAACTCATTTGATTTCTCATGAAGAGGAATGCTGTATTTTCTTCCTGGGCATGAGTCAGTATTTCATTTACATGAGGGTGAGCAAGCAATCGAACAGCCTCATCCTTGCTACTAGATATTGAAATATTGAGGTAAGGGCTTCCTTAGAGAGGTTTCTTATCATCCTTCAGCAATTATTGCAGTGAGATCAAGTTACAGCTGGTTTAATGCGATGTAAAACCTAGTGAGGTTGACACCACAAATTTTACTAGTTGTGGTGATGATTACATAACAAATAAAGTTAAGATAAAATGCCAGTGACAGACTGATAGTTTAGTTTGAGATATAAAAATGAGATAGAGGAACCACAGAGCAAAGGAGTTTTGTTTAAACCAGTTCTATCCCATTTTAGATAACCAAAGCTCGCTTCAGGTTTAAGGTCCTTAAATGCAGTAAGGTATAAAATAACGCTTCATTATTTCCTTCTCATTCACAGCTGACAGTTGTTGATTGGGAAGAAGGAATCTGAGGAATTCTGAGCTGACTACTGCTGTGGTTGGAAGGTAACACCATCCTACTGCTCAGCCCTCTCAGGCTGAGGTACAGGGATGAAAACCAGATTTAACATCTGACTGTACAAGAATTCACTCTTTTTGGATGACTAATGCTGCTATAGCTTAGGGTCAAATTATGTCATGTTTTGTGTGGCTGATCAATGTAATAAAAGCACAGAAGGTGACTTCCTTATGCCATGTGCCATCATTGCCAAGTCACGGGGATGTATTTCACTGTGGTGCTGCGTCCTGCCCCCCCGCTTCACAACACTCTGGAGGCTGACGTTCCCCCAGACAGAGTGAGGCAGAGAGGATGTTGATGACTCATTTTCCCTTCATTTTCTTCACAGGCTGTTCCTGTGAAACAACGTGCTGCTCTCTCCCCATCTAAGCTTATCACAGTTTAACTCTCAAGCAATTTGATGTCAATCTCTACAGTTTTGCAGGATGAACAGGAAAAAAGGCATAGAAAATTCCTTACCTCAAGCATGTTCTTCTAAAACAATAGCTTGTACCAGAGAAGTCTCATGCCCAGGCTGGCCTCCAGCTACTTTCTCCTAGTTCCCTTGCTCCTTCTAGCTCTTGTATTTACAAATACAGAAGTTAGAGGTGAATATGATAATCACAAGAATCAAGGCAGTATAGCCCACATATTGCTGTGAGATGAGATGAAGGACCTAGTCATAGAACTTTTGCTGTCGTGGTTTGGGTTCATTAGCTTCATGTGGGATGTGGGAAGGTTTAGATTAATTAATTACAAAAGAGGAAGGAAAGAAGCAGGAATGTGGTAGTTTGTCCAAAATGCTTTATAGCATTAGCTGAAGAATTCAGAAATCCCCCATTTTCTCTGCTTTCCTTTGGAAAGTTCTTGAACCATCTCCAGAAAATTTTACTGGGCTTCCACTGATCCTTCTGTTCCTGCTCCCTAAGCCAAGAACTAGTACTAGCACATGGGAATCTGGGTGGGAACAAGTAGCTGTGGATCAGCAAGCTTGGGATTTATCCTGCAGTAAGACAATGAATTTTGCCGTTTACTCATGAGATCTTGTACTCAAAACTAATTTAAGTTTTTCCTGGAAACGCCTAATTTTCCTGTTCTATGGAAATTCAGAGTCCTAAGAGCCTAATTTTCATACCTATGTAAGATAGTGCAAATTCTTCTGAAGTTAAGTAAAAACAAGCATTAGGAGCTCCCCTGCAGCTAAGGAACTCCCCGCAGCAACGCCCTGATGTGGAGCTGAATGCCCACTGAATATCTTCTCAAATTTGCGCCTATTGTTTGCAGTAAATGGGTTCTGCTACCAGAATTTACTACTGGACTTGCCCTGCTAAATGGCTGTTAATGTGAGGGCTTTTTTGTTTCTCGTTATCTACAGTTCAGTTTAAACCAGCAGCTTTCAATTTTGCTGCTGTATTTTCTAATACTTGGTTTGATTTTTGATTGTCCCTTTCTAATCATTGAAGTGGGTCTAGTCAATTTGGTAACGTACCAAGCCGCAGACTCTCCACTGTTTCTGTCATGCCCAAGACTATGTGGAGCTAATGCTGGATTTTTGCAGCAAAGGGAGATGGATGATACCGGTTCCAACATAACACCACAACAGCACAGACAAATGATAAGGCCTGCCAACGAGGATCAAAGTTTTCAAATTAATTTGAACGTTCTGATTGAGTTTATACAAAAATAATGCTCTTTCGTGGCTATGGTATTTTAGCAATGGTACCAGGACCTTTGAGCCAGATTTAACTCACTTTTGCACCATGTTTTTATTGCAAAGGAAACACTGAGCTATCTAGCTGCCTATGCCTTAAGTAAAAATTAATGGCATAATGGTAGTATTAAGTGTACATTTTAGAGATTTTTCCAGGATTTTTTGAAAAAATATATTTAGGGAACACCAATCATTTGAGCCAAATTTAATGACTTTTTCTTCCCTTAGAAATGCAGTTTATTCTAGCACACAGTTTGTTGCGAAAGATACGCACCGAAACGTGGAACGGGAATTATTGTACGAGGCTTTTTATTAGCGATAATGATCCTCAAGTTGCACTGGCAAAAGCAGCCAAGGCCCCTGCCCTGGGCAGTGCCTAATCTAAACCGGGAACAGAGCTGATTGAAGTGGATGAAATGCATCTTCCTTTTTCCCTCCACAATGAACTTTCCTCCAGTTCTCCTCAGACCGGGTTACAAAATGCGCCTCAGACAGTGCTAATGGCGGCACTGCCATGCAGCAGCACGACCAGCAAGGAAAGCTCAAACGAACGCCTGCTGTTCCCTGTTGTGTAGCTCAGGAAAGGAATAACGCCGGGTTCCTTTCAGGAGGCACCATCTCCTCGCCATTTACCAGCGCGGGGTGCACCGACCACCCGCTCTGAGGCGACATTTCCCGGACGGGGCGGGGGAGCCCCGGCCCCTTCGCCCTCACTGCGGCAGCGCCTCAGGGCCCGATGCTCGGGCTGGTGCCTCCGCGGAGAGACGGGGCCTCCCTCTTCGAACCGCGCGTTTCCAGTCAGACTGGTCTCTGCCCCCGTTTTTAACGTCTCTTCGGCCTTTACCTCACCAACAGCGCACGGGGGGCACGGCCGCCCGCCCTCTGGCCGCCATTTCGGGACGCCACTCGGGGGTTCCCTCCTTTCCCCCCTTAGCGTGTGGGGAGGCCGAGGCTGACTCCCCCCGCCCCTCTCCTCTCCTCACCGGCCGTCCCACCCCTGCCCTGAGGGGAGACCGGGGCGGGCGGGAGCGGGCAGCGGCCTCCCCCTCCTCCCGGGGGCGGTGCGCGCTGACGCGGCAGCGCCGCGGCTCTCCGCCGGCCGAGTCGCACAATTATGAGAAAGAGCCGCCGGGCCGAGGCCGCCGCCAGCGCTGGGTCCCGGTGCGGAGTCGAGCTAGCGCTGTCCTCCGCGCCCCGCTCTTCCCTTCTTCCCCGGAGCGTTGTCCTCGCCCGGCTTCTCCCCACCCAGCCCTCCGCTGCTGCCGAGCTCAGCCCCGATAGATGGAGACAGGCCCCGCCACCGCCGACGCCGAACCACGAGCAGGAGCTGCCCGGGGCGAGGAGAGCCAGAGTCGGCGCCGAGACCCAGCCCGGCCCTGAGGAGAATGGTGAGGGCGGCGGCGAGGGAGGAAGGGACGGGGAGAAGGAGGGTGGGTGGTTGGGTG